AATTGTTTGGGGACTATCCCCCACGTTCTAGTTGAGATGGTATAACCCAAGAGGCAAAATGACGCTTGCTACTGTTGTTGCGAGTTGCCATTCGTTCTACTAAACCATTAGTCAAACGCCATCATGTCTTCTGTCGTTATTACACAAACAAAAATCTCTTTACTGTTACTAGTGTTAGTGCCTCAATATGGCTACGCTCGTGAAAGCAATACAACTAACTCAAACGCGTCTTCGTTCAATGTTGTCAACTAATATCCGGATTAATTTTATGCAAATTTTCCTCACTTCTCCGGAGAGATTTTCATAAAAATGTGAAAAACCCGGAATTTCGGGAAAATCCGGATGACTTTCATCTCTGAATATCACATTTTTCACCCCAGAAATCCTATTCATTTCCAACGAGACGTTCATCAAAACAGATTAATTTAATTGCCCTGAAGAGTTCTATTTTTTCAGCTCATTCGATTCAACTTGGGAACTGATTTCAACTTTCTAAAATTTCATACAAAACAAATTTCACGTTTTTCACTGTAAATTTAGATTTTTTTCAGTCACAAAGCCCCCCATAAATCTATACATTCAACATTATTGAGCTGTGTTTTTACATTTATCGACCGATTCATACAATTGCAATTTCAAAATTCTCCAATAATTCATGCTATTGAGGGCTAATATTTTCTCATTCCAAATCTTCCATTTTTTTCTCAAAATACTGTTTCCACCAGAGATTCACTATTAATTCCCAGTGACATATTTATACAACAAATTAAAATTGTTCTATTTTAAAATTTGTATTATTCAGCACATTCAATTCACCTTGGGAACTATTTTTTAAATGCCCCAAATTCCCACTGAACAAAATGTTCACCATTGTATTCAAATTGTAAATAGCACTGCGACCTTATCCATATCTGTATTTATATTGCACTTAATTGAACAGTGTTTGTTTTCTTTTTCTTCTTTCTCCCCATTATCTTGCTGCTGTGGACTGTAAATTTCCCCATTGTGGGACAAATAAAGGATATCTTAAATCTTAATATTGTTATTTTATGTCACATTTCCTGGAAATCACTTTATTACAATTGCAACTGCTATAAAAGCACTCTGTAAATAAAAATGTATTGGACTGTATTAACATATGCACAAAAAAGTTTTTCAAATTTTTGTCCTCTAAATTCAAATTTGAACTGTTTAGCTTGTCTCGACTGACGGCAAAAATTCCCACTTACCAGAAACATGATAATACCCACCATGATAATACCCACAAAGAATTTAAATCTGACAATATTCCTTTTGTCCCATAATTTCTGCATTATTTTATCATTTCAAACTGTTCAACTTATCCCTACCAATACCAAAAATGTAATGCAGATTAAAAGGCTTTCACCGTATAATTTTAGTTTTTCTCTTGTAATTTTCTATTTTAGTGATTAAAATCATTGCAAATTTGAACTGCTCAGCTTCTTGTGTGTCAGCAGACCGAGTGGGGGAGCCATATTGGCCAAAACATTAGGTACACCCCAGATTCTCGCTCCCAGGCATTCGCAGTGGGGCGACCATCTTGGACAGGGACATTAGGTTCACCCAGAATTCTCGCACCGAGGTATCCCCAGTGGGCTGGTGATATCAGCCAAAATATTAGGTTCACTCACATTCTTGTGTGTAGGTGTCCTTAATGAGGGAGACAAAAAGGCAGTGGGGAGCCTTCTTGCTCCTCTTTTGCAGCTGAGTACACCTTAGTTTCGAGGCAGAAGTGAAGAATGGTGTGCTCAATGGTGTCCAAAAAGGATATGGAAGACATCTACATTACTGGTCTTCTGATAACAGGTATGCTGCTGTTTGGAGTTAGCAGTTTCCTGATCGACTGCAAAATTCAGCTGATGGGAGCAGCTTTATTGGATGAGAATGAGCTAACGGTCCTAATGGGGGTTCTGGGGCAGGTGATCTACACTCAGATTCATGCATTGACCGAACACAATCGCAAAGTGAATGTGGTTTTGGAGTCTCTTCGCAAAATGGAAAACAATGAGGAGGAGTGGGCATCTGGCCTTGAAACATTGGGAACTCGGCTAAATGACACCATTGAGAGTCACAAGATTTTCAAGGCTGAAATTGTTTACAGCTTGTTCCCAAAACAACTGTTATCTGGACTTTCCCCTGGATGAATAATACGCTCGGCTCTAGCATTCATATCAACCCCTTTATCTCTCCTTCCCGAGCTCTAGACTGATATGCCAAGAGGCGTGATGTCTCACAGTATATAAACTCTGTTTAATCAGTGACACGTTGTCAGTATGTCCAGTCTTCTACCAGTGTCAGCTCTCTTCAGTGTCTTCTGCATCCACTGAAAGACACATACCAATGTGTTGCCCACGCAGCACTGGGCTTTTCTGACCACTATTTAATCCACATAATCCCTTGATAGGAGCACATACTTGGTACCGGTTGTCAAGACTGTGAAGAGAAGGATCGATTAAGCAAAGCTGGGACTACAAGAATGCTTGGACTGCACTGACTGGGGCGTCTTGGAAACTTCAACTGGCAGCCTGGACAAATACACATACACTGTAACATCATGTGTGCTATTGTACCTTCAGAGTAGGTGAGGAACCAACATGTGCTGGGGGAGGATTGCCTTGCCAACCTTTAAGTCTGTATATATGCCCAACACGAGAGCACGGGACAAAGAGCAGTTTGCCACCACACTGCCATATCTACAATGACAGTACAATTTGAGTAGAAATGTGCAGTTTCTTTGCAAATTGAGCACTCATCAAACAGTGGCACTATCATACCTTGTATGATATTTCAAAATTTTCTCCTCCCCATATCTGCAATCCAGGGTCATATAGGCCCAGTTCAAAGAAGTAGTCACGCTCTATAGCAAAGAGACCCCCTGCCATGGCTGGAGACCTTTGAATTGAGACCCACAGAAAGAAAAAAAAATGAATATATGAATAACTTTGTAACAGTCCTCAAGCTTGTTAAACATTACCCAAATTTAACACACACACATACATATATATACACACATACATTACACACACACATATATATGTGTGTGTGTGTATACATACATACATACATACATACATACATACATACATACATACATACACCACACACACACAAACAAAACAACAAAAATAAATATCTGACCTAAAATAACATCAAAGTATTGTAAAAAGAAACAAGCAATAAATGTAATGTATGGTTGAAAAGATGTTCAGAATGGTAAAGGAAGTGAGGAACGGTGACTGGATGGAGTCACAGTGAGTAATGAGACAGACCCAACACCAACATCCATTTATGTACTGTTCTATTAAATCATGCCAGTATTTCTGTATATGCTCCAGTCGCCACAAGAAAAACACAATAGAAAAAGTGACAACAGTGTCCTCAATTTGTTAATGTATCATGATACAGTAAGATGCACTGACACGTGATGAATCAACATACTAAGTATCGACATACAATCCCCTCCAAAAGGATTCGAACAGCTAGGTCAATTTCTGAAGGCATTCGGGTTTCAGATAAAAAGATGAATTTGAGACAAAAGTTCTTCCAGGTTTTATTTCATGCATTTACATCTAGATGAGTTACACTTAGGACAGAGCACCTTTTGTTTCAAGGCACCCACTTTTCAAGTGAGCAAAAGTACTGGAATGGACATTATTCAATTAGCTTAAAGTGAACATTTAATATTTGTGTTATAACCATTACTTGCAATCACTGAATAGCCTATTAGCCATTGACTTCAGTTTCATTCTTCATTTGAAATGCTTTTTGAGGCCTTTACTGCAGCTTCGTTCAGTTCTTTGTTTCTGTAGGTTTCTGTCTTCAGCATCTTCTTGAAAAGGTGAAATGCTCTGTTGGATAAGGCCTGGTGACTGACTTACCAGTCTAAGAGCGTCCACTTTTAACCCCTGATGAGGTGTTGTGTACGGTGTACGTAAATGTTCCAGTACGGCTGTGACCCTTGTGAGGACAAGCGGATTAGAAAATGGATGGATATACCGTAGTTAAAGCAATGAGGCAGCAATCTGTCTGCTGAATATATTAAAGGTTTTCAAAAAATTGAATGTTGGACTTTGTAAAACGCTTTAGGCACAGAATGGTGTCGATAAAGTGCGATGCCGGTACCGTATTTTCCATTTACAATTTTGGTTAAATTTTATATATTGTCCGTGAAATACATATTCCCTCCCAGAAATATATTATAAAAGGAACAGACTTTGTCAATACATTATAATACAATGCATCATGTGCAAATACAGTCAAACCTCAGTTTTCGAATGTCTCTGTTCTCGACCAAATCGGTTTTCGACCAAAAATTGAGTTTTTTATGCCTTGGACTACGACCGAAAATCGGTTCTCGACCAAACTGAGCGCACTTGAATGCGCCACTTGACTCCTCTCGCCTTCCTTACACAAGGAAGTGACGCTTCCTCGTGTAGCGTTCCATTTGTGATCAATAATGATTTTTTTTTTTTTTTTTTTAAGGAGCGTGGTTTCGGTCTTCAAACAAATCGGTTTTCGAACAGCCTCTGGTTTATGGTTGAAAACCGAAGTATGACTGTATATAGAAAACAGGAGTATCACATAACTAATGTTTGCATTTTGTACACCATTGTTTCCCCTCAAATGCCGTCAAAACATCTATCCAACTTCTGATCATGAAAGGCATGAAGTTCCTCCTAATGGTGTATTTGGACCTCCTCATGTTGTTTCTCTTCTCGTCAGGCCTCTGTTCCCCCATGATGAACTCCATGATGTTCAAGATCCTTCTGGCAGACTTGGAAAGGGTGAAGACGATTCCTGCAGGAGTGACACATTGACAATCAATTGGGTATAGCTATTAACATGTGAATACGGAGTAATAGTGAGCTCAATCCAGGTTGCGTTTGATGATAGAAAATATATAAACTACAGCTGCAAGCAGCTATATAGGGCCCTCACAGCCCTGGCAATGTTAAGATGCTGGCACGTTGATACTGGCACATTGGAATTGCCATTTTTTGAATATTAAGTCGATCAGATTAAAAGCTATTTTTATGAAATAGAACCCCGATAAAAGGCCAAAAATGAGGCACAATTTGAAACAAAATAAAACAGAGTTTAAAAATTGGAGAGGCTTTTTTTTTAAATGAAATTCCACAATTAACTCATAAAATACTGGTGATTTTGACAGGCCTGATGTGGGTACAACGTTTCATGACTTTTCATCCTATCGCAAGTGTTTCACGAGGCCTCGATCAATTATTCCGGGATTGGTTTCTATATTTCCACTCTCGGGGGAATTGCAGTGCAATTTTGTTTTCCTCATTTATAAATTTAAAATATTTAATTTTTCACCAGGGCTGATGAGTGTGCAGAGTTTGATAAGTTTATGGGCATGCTTAGGTTCCCAAAAATGCAATTCGTTTTTGTGAAATATAATAACATAAATATTAAGTTTGAACAAAAAAAGAGACCTGACAGCTGTCACTACTTGGGCCCTAACAATAATACTGATCATATCAACACCAATAACAATAAATAATAACAGAGACCCTGATGTGGTCGCTGCTTGGGTGCTAATAATAGATATGGGCGACATAAATGTAGCCATAGATTTTGTTTAAGGACTGTTTACCTTGTCTTTACTAATTTTATCCAGGTCACTGACATTCCCAACCATAGGTACTATATGAATAAAAAAATAATCTCACCATAGTCATTGAGGGACCCCCCAGAAAGAATTCCACAAGACTAGTGGCTAAATAGATGGCCTGTTAGTCGTACTGTCAGGTGCCCACAGTATTTTGACCACCTCTTCGTAGTGCCTGAGCCTCTTTTGGGCATTTGTATTTCCTAAAAGAAGACAATTGCAAAATTTAAATGATAACATTTTCAAAATTATTTTCCTATTGAATTCCAGGGGTAGACCAATGAACTGGAACATGAACAACAGCAAAAAACAAAACCACAAATGACTGAAAGCAACAACTCAAGAGAAGACATGAGGGTAAACCTTAAATGTAACACTCCCACATTTTCTCATTACTTTTGCCTATTGTGTTTCTAGACTAGTGTGACAACAGCCAACGGACGTTACTAATACAGTATAGCGAGCATTTGAAAACAACTTAAAATACATCAGATTTTAAGTATAGAATATGTAATAAAATCTAGAGTATCATTAGTAATAAAGTAAATGTGTCACAACATTCAGAAGTTTGTGTTGCCACTTTGCCCCAACGGCATTTAAGCCAGATCTATAGCGAGCATTTAATCCCACTTTAAACAATGTAACCCAGGATATTGAATAAAATTCCACGTGTCATTGGTATGAAAACCAATTTGTCACTTGCGTTGTTGTTGCCATTTGGGTCCAGAAATCACCATTTACCAGCAACTCAGATCACGTAACTGTATCAAAGTATAGAAGATCTACTCAAATCATGTGTCATCACGATGAAAATCAATCAATTTTACTTACATGTATGTGTTTCCCTGTTCTTTATGGTCATGATGTTGTTGTGTGGGTAGCCACTGAGGATGTTTTTAACCAACTTGGTTGACCACAAATATAGGAGAGCCACCCTCAGAGACCCTTGACTGCGTCCTCCTGGGAAGGCATGTCGGTGGAATTGAGATGCATCTGAATATGGTGGTTTTTGAAGCTGTGACTCCCGCACCATTGCATTCTTTGTGGATCTCTGACAGAATATTGAAGCTTCTCGGTTGATAATCTGCTGAAGCCCACGATCATCTATCTTCCAGGTGTATCTTCTCTTGCAACATTTTGCCCTTCAACCAGACTTTCCAATGATATGCTTGTACACAGCAGTCCGTGAACAGGCATCCTCCTGAGAAAAGAACTTCTGTGGCAAACCCATCCTATGAAGTGTATCAGTGATTGTCTTCTGGACAGTTGTCAAGTCTATAGTCTTCCCCATTTTGAACCGAACTGACACACTTGAACCACACTGGAGCAATTTAATGACACCTGGGTAAACTTGTGCAGATGCTTTGAGTTTAGTAAACGATTAATGTGCGACCTTCCGTTTAATACATTCAGGCCTTGCAAAATTTGGGCTGATTTCTCCAAAGTTTTCTAACTTTTTGAATTCCTGTTTTTGTGGGTCTTATGAGCTGGGAGCTCAAATTATGTAAATATAAACTAATTCATACTTAAAATAATTTAAATTGTGGTCCTTATAAATCTAAATTATATAGGTGTGTGTGTGTGTGTGTGTGTGTGTGTGTGTGTGTGAGACAGACACGCACGCACGCACGCACATATACATCCATCCATTTTCTGATGCGCTTATCCTCACAAGGGTCGCGGGGCGTTCTGGAGCCTATCCCAGCTGTCTTGGGGCCGTAGGCGGGTACACCTTAAACTGGTTGCCAGCCAACTGCGGGGCACACATAGATAAACAACCATTCGTGCTCACACTCACACCTCAGGAAAATTTAGAGCAGGGGTGTCCAAACTCGGTCCTCAAGGGCCGTTGTTCTGCCTGTTTTCCAGCTCTCCCAGCTGGAAAACAGGCAAAAGCAAAACACCGGATTCAAACAATCAGAATCACTCTAATGCTGCTTCAGAACTGGCTGATCATCTTGATCAGGTGTATTGCAGCCAGTAGAGCTGGAAAACAGGCAGGACAGTGGCCCTCCAGTCCCTGAGCTGGACATGCCTGATTTAAAGTGTTCCATTCACCTGCCATGCATGCTTATGGAATGTGGGAGGCAACCCGAGTACCCGGAGAAAACCCATGCAGGCACAGACGGGGAGAACATGCAAACTCTACACAGGAAGACCAGAATCGAACCCCGCACCTCTGCACTGTGAGGCCAACACAGTAGTCCACCGAGCCGCCCCACACACACACACACACACGCACGCACGCACACACGCACGCGCGCGCACACACACACACACACGTAAAATTAGTGTAGGTTAGTTTTTCGAAGTGCTACCCTGGTTGCACAATAGTGTTTCCTACAGCTATTTTTCCTGGACAAGACACTCCAAGTTTGTTGCCAACACCCTTTGTTTACCTTCTCTGTTTGTATTGTTATTATTCGATTCTAAAAAACAATTTGTGTTTGCTAAAAAAAAAAAAGGCCTGTAAAATTCAAACATTCTTGGCATTTTGCTACTTTTCTTCATGTTATATTAATGTTTGTTTGTTTTTTTCAGATACACAGTGAAATTATTCAGGAGGTATTGGTTTTCAGTACCTATATGGCTCAGTATGAGTTTTTCTTAGTTTTTTTTCCCTGTCGTTCAGAGGAACTCTCTTCCACAGCATGCTCCAGTCCCAGGCTCCTCTTGCAAAGCCGTCTGCATCTCCACCACCCTGGGTCTCAATGGTGAACATCTCTCCATGGATGGTGTCGATCAAAGGAACAGTACACACCGTTCTTTTAGAATGGGAGTGAAATCACAAGAATCAGCATTCATTCAAGACACAGCGGGGAAAGGGGTTGGTGACCAATACAAACAGACAAGAGTGGAAAATGGGATAGGGTTTGTCAAGAGAAGAGGATGAGACAATAAAGGTGGAATAAAAGAATGGGAGATGGAGACACAAAGAGACAACAATGAACATTAGTTAGCAGCATGCCATCTGCAATGCGTGTACCTATAGGGCTCAGAAGTATGTTTTCTTTGCGCTTTCTCTCTCTGGTTTAATGGTAGTCTCTTCCAGAGCAGGCTCCAGTCCCATGCTCCTCGAGCCAGACCGTCCTCATCTCCACCATGTTGGGGTTCCATACTATACTCATAACCGTCTATATAGTCTATGAGTGGTACTGTACATACCGTCCTAAATACACAAAACAACCCTCTGTCGGCATGTTTGATAGCTGAATATACAGTATACAGTTGAAATCACAAGTTTACATATACTATATAAAATAACCCCCCCCCCTTCAATGTCCTGCATCAAATTCGGACCAAAGTGTTCCTGTTAAGATAATTCTTTCAATTTGCACATGAAGACGAAAGAAACTAGTTCCCAGCACCTTCCCGTCTTGCCAGGGATGTAGATCAAAGAAAAAAAATGTCTAAGAGTCTTCATTTTGTGGAGAAAGACCACAGGGCTGCAACACGCGCTTTGAACTGTGTGCCAATGTGCTTGCTGCTTGCACTGTGACAAGCCACCAAATAGGATTCGCTGAGTGTCATGTGCCACACCTTTCTCTTGACGTAGTTCTGCTTGCATGTGAGGGAAGTTGCACAAGTTACCAAGCCGCAGCCGGTTGGACATCAGCTTTAGCTTGCTTTTAAATATGGTCACTGAACTCATCATGTTGACTACATCTTTACCCTTACCCTGCAGCTCTAAATTCAATTCATTGAACTGGCCAGTGACATCAGTAAGGAAAAATAAATCTAAAAGCCACTGTTTTGTCCCGCTAACAAATCCCATGAAAGCATTAAAAATATCCTCACCCCCTGGTGTGTACTTTTAATGGCAAATTGGTGAGTGGCTCTTAATTGGTACTTCATTGGTGGAAAATGGTAGTTCTTTGATCATTTCCTCTCAGCCAGGGGTGGCCAACCAGTCAGAGACAAAGAGCCATTTTTTTTACTGTGTTACTGCAAAGAGCCACATACACATGGGTATTCCATCCTCCCTCTCTATCTCGCTCGCGCACGCACGCACGCACGCACGCACGCACGCACGCACGCGCGCGCACACACACACACACACACACACACACACACACACACACACACACACACACACACACACACACACACACACACACACACCATTTCCTCCTCCCACCCTTTGCGGCCGACTTGGGACCAGTCCGCTGGCTCCCGGTCTGGCACCCCTGCCTTGACATCAGAGGTAATTCGCTGACTAGCTTAGCATTTAGCGCCGTTGTTTACGCATTAGTGGGGTTTTTTTCCCCAACACACCTCGCGGTCGCCTTGGGATTAGTCCGCGGTCGACCTGGGTCGACTGGTTGGGCACCCCTGCTTTAGGGACTCCGGGCGGATCTCATTCACCTCGGGGCTTTGCCAGGAAGGAGCTACCTCAGAGACTCCAGGCTCTGCTTCCGCAATAGAAGATATTGATGAGGTCTTTTAAGTAGAGTACAGTAATCCCTTGCCATTTAGTGCTACATGCTTTGCGGCATTTTGTGGGTTTTCCAAAATATTGTCATTTAAAAAAATAAAAAATAAAAAAATTATCAATAAAATAAAAATTTAAAAATACAGCCATATCGGCATCCATATTGGGAAAGGACGCATTGTTACGCGGTGATGTGCGAGAGTGAAGGTTTCCCTGCATGCCGAACAAAGAGCTGAGGTGACTCAGAGGCTTTGTACATGCCCACTCAAACAAGGCACATGATTGACCAATGAGAGCACAAGTGGATTTATGTCATGAGTGGTTGTGCATCATTGCAGCCTCACCCAGCACCTCCCCTGGTGTCTCGTCATGCTGTTGACCGTCTCGCATACTGTATCTTTCTTAGTGTTGTGTTCGCGATACCTATTCCAATACAGATGCCTTGACCGGGACAGGTCGGGTTGAGGCTTATTTTGAAAATTTCTCAATTCGGTCAGGTTTTTTCGACACGTCACAATGAAGCAGTGGCAGCTCAGACAAAGACTGACGTGACAGCCCAAACTGTTAGCTAGGTAAGAAATGTTTTCTTCAGTAAAAAAAGACCATTGTCTAATAAAAATGAAAGCTTAAACCTGTTTGAACTAATAAAAAGACAACATGAACGTCATAGCGCTACCCATCACCATGTTTTTCTCCAATTTAAAAACCTCAGCTTCACCGTCAGCGCCTCGAGCAGAAGAGTTTCCGAGTGAACCTAAAGTCTGTACGAGTGAAGTAAGAGCCGTCTTCTATGCCACCAACACAAGCCTCTTCGTCTTTCTCAGAAGGCGATGATGAATGTTAATTACAGTAGAAGGTTTTGTAATAGAAGATTTAACAAAATATGTCTACTCTTGTAATCTTTGTCTCAAATACGTCAAGTATCAATACTGTTTGCATGTTTGAAACATGCTGGTACCCATATAAACACAGAAAAATTCCTGGGGTGATGGGGGCAAACCCTACCCTGTGGTTTTCACCTTTTGCAGGGGGTTTCTGGTGGGATTATTGTATTCTTCCCACCGACTCACAATTTCCTGACTCAAGGTCAGCAGCACCCCATCTTCAATGTACACAGTGTTAATGGTGCACTGCTTCCTCCTTGTGAGACTCCAGATGGTGGACCAGAATTTCCTCAAAGAAGTCCATGGACTCACCGAACTCCTCCCCCGCTCCAGTTTTTGACACATTGACCACTATGGGTACATTCCAGCTGGTATCAGTCAACTGCCTCCGGAATCACACAGGCCAAAAAGGCCAGATAGGACTTTTTCTTCAGCTTGACGGCATCCCTTACCACCGGTGTCCTCTAGTGGATTCAGAGATTACCGCAACAACAGGCACGACCACCTTTTTTTTTTCTTTTAAGGGGCTTCTGTTGTGTAATGTATGTGATAATACGAGTAGATCATACTATTATATGGCTTCACAGTCATCATGGCATAAGGTCACAGTCTCTTTGTACTAATCCTGTCGCATTCTGTTTCCAAATGTGTGGATCACCTCCACAGTCTCACTAGTCCACCTCTTTGATGTTTACAGATCTTCAGCCTCTGTAAACTTGTAACAAAATGATCTTCAACCTCTGTCTGTATGTGATTAGGTGATCTAAAAGGCAAAGACTGAAGTGGGGCAGAGCACAGTAGGCTCCATTAACCTTATTGTAGAAGTGATGTAACGTGTTATCCTCTCTCTAAGGGCATGAAATAAACTGTCTCTACTTAAGTATCTCATGGCTTAGATTCCCCTTGTTAAAGTTGCCAAGTGCAATTACCAGGGAGTCCAGAGAAGTCTGCTCCACATCCAAAATTTACTCTCCAAGTGTGAGCTGAACCTCATGTGCATCCGCGTCAGGTGGGCCATGGACAGTGGCCACATTGAATGATGTAAAATCATGCGTACTTTTTTGCATCCTATTGTCCTTGCAATATGTTCATGACTTTTCCAGAAATGTGTTAAAAAGAGAGAAAGAGAGAGAGAGAGAGAGAGAGAGAGAGAGAGAGAGAGAGAGAGAGAGAGAGGGAGAGAGAGAGAGAGAGAGACAGAGGCAATATAAATCCCTACAATGTAATTTAAAGAGGTTCATTGACTTTTTTTTAACCACCGTATCACTGTTACCTGTCCTCTGAAATTGGAGCAACCAACGGAGCATACCAGTTGATTCCAACCTCACAGTGAGCATCCAAGTATATTAGCACCTAAAAAAACACAAAAACTTAAGTATTTTTATTTATTCATAATGTGAAACCAGAAATTAATTAACTGTCTTTATTCTAGATTGTCAGATCTGTTGGTATAGCAATACTCCCAAGAAATACCTGTCCCTTTGTGGCCTTCTTGGCTCCAATACTTCGTGCCTGGATGAGACCCTCTCTCTTTTCATTTCTGTAAAGTTTCACCAGACCATTCCACTGCTTGATGTAAATCTCCAAACGTTCCTTCAAGTGGACTTCAAAAAGAGAGAGTTTCATCATCATTCTTCCGTAAAAAACAAAACAAAAACAAAAACAAAAAAAAAACAAAAACAAAAAAAATCAAAAACAGATCAAGAGTGAGAAAATCTTACGGCCTTTGTGAGGTCAGATTTCATACACATGCAGACTTTTTTCAAAATATATCTTTTTTAAATGCAAAAGCAACTGTATATCATATGACTTGACAGAGCAAGTAAACTGGAATCTGTATATTTAACATTTTTACACTTGTGATAAATGAGTTTTAGAAGTGCCTTGCATTACCAGCAAATCCAACAGTCATGATATCTATGCCTCCTTTTTCGTGTATACTGGATCAGGATAAACTTATACAGAAACAGATCAACTTTGTCTCCACTGCAAAATAAGACATCAATGACCAGCATATACTCTTCCATAATACCTGAACAGTCATACCTCGGTTTTCGACCATAATCCATTCCAGAAGGCTGTTCGAAAACCGATTTGTTCAAAAACCGAAACCACGTTCTTTAAAAAAAAAAAAAAAATCTTTATTGAACACGTGTGCTCACAATGGAACGCGACACGAGGAAGTGACGCTTCCTCGTGTAAGGAAGGCGAGAGGAGTCAAGTGGCGCATTCAAGCTGCGCTCAGTTTGGTCGAGAACCGATTTTCGGTCATAATCTGAGGCACAAAAAAAACCTCAAAATCTTTGGTCGAAAACGGATTTGGTCGAGAACAGAGACGTTCGAAAACCGAGGTTTGACTGTACTACATTATTATTTATTAAAATATACATATTATGGTATGAATATTATTACCTTGAAATCCTGTGAATAAGACACACCAAGTTATAATAATCGTCAGGCGCCGACAGGTATGGCAGCCTCGGTTACACGCTCCCTAGTATTATCCCTGTTTTTGTCATTTTCGTTTTTGGCGACCCTGAGCGGCTTATACTTACACGAGGGAAAAGTTGCTTAGCATTGGGGAGTCTACGCTCGGACTTTTTTCACCAGCAAACGAAAATTCACAAGGTTTTTCGGAGCTAATCGCGAGTGGAGCGGCTGCGCTGTACGGAGCATGGAAACGCCGTCGGAGGAGGGGGAAGCGAGCCAGCGTGCTAGTCAAGCTCCGGCAGCGTGGATTTCGAACCCCACTCCCATCGATCCATTTTGCTAATCTATGATCTCTGCCAAACAAGATGGATGAACTTCTTCTCCTCACAAAGACCAACAAAACCTTTGCACGTTCTGCTGCGCTCTGCTTCACTGAAACCTGGCTCAGTGACCGCCACCCGGATTCGGCTCTACGTCTACCCGGCTTCCACCTACTCCGAGCCGACCGCAACACGGAGCGATCAGGGAAATCGAAAGGTGGTGGGATTTGCTTCTATATCAACGAAGAATGGTGCACTGATGTCACGAAGCTCGACGCACACTGCAGCCCGGACCTGGAGTCGCCGTCTTTAAACTGCAAGCCATTCTACTCGCCACGTGAATTCACCTCCTTTTAACTAGTTGGTTTTTACATTGCGCCACAAGCTAATGCTAACACTGCGATACAAACACTAGCTGAACAAGTAAACAAACTCGAACTAAAATACCCAGAGTCACTCCTGATCATTTTGGGCAATTTTAATAGAGCACATCTTAACCATGAACTTCCCAGATATAAGCAGCACATTGACTGTTTCACCAGAGAAGGCAACATTCTAGACCACTGCTATACAACAATCAAAAATTCATGCCGATCGATCGCCCGCGCAGCATTGGGTCTTTCTGACCACAATTTAATACACTTAATACCTACATACAGACAGAAACTCAAATGTGTTAAACCGGTTGTTAAGACTGTGAAAAAATGGACAGATGAAGCAAAGCTCGCTCTACAAGAATGCTTAGACTGCACTGATTGGGGCGTCTTTGAAATTTCAACGGGCACACTGGATGAATACACAGACACCGTAACATCATACATCAGTTTCTGTGAGGACATGTGTGCACCAACGAAGTCCTTCCGCTCCTTCAACAATAACAAGCCATGGTTCACTCCCAAACTCAGGCAACTCAGGAAAGAGAAAGAGGCCGCATTTAGAAGTGGAGATCGGGCACTGTACAAACACGCCCGAAACCAATTGACAAA